CTTCTTCTTCTTCTTCTTCTTCTTCTTCTTCTTCTTCTTCTTCTTCTTCTTCTAAAAATAAAAGTGTCCCTTGAATCCAATTTATCATCATAGTTCTAACAGTGACTGCAAAAAAGAAAAAAAAGTCGTTGGAGGAAAATGAGGTGAAGAGTTACAGTTCAATTCCTGCTGAGAGGGAAGTATTGAGTTGTTGCAATCAAGTCAATACCTGAAACAGATACAAGTTATGGAATTTGTTCTAACGTAGCCAACGAAGTGAAGCATTCATGCATGTTTATGAAATGGTTCTGGATCGGGGTGCAGATTAGAATATTGCTTCTAAGATAATGTGGCATATTTTTTGTTGTTGTTTCTATTACCTATTCGTTTTTTATTGGACAAAGAAAATTGATACTTTGAAATAGTGGTGATCATGCAAAGTTGGAAAAGATCCAATATGATGGTAATGTGTAAGTTTTAATGAAGGAGGAAGAAGATTTGACCAATGATGTGATGTTTCCAAAAGACTCTCCCCATTGACCAGTCAAAAACGCCATTTGCGCGCCCTTAGAGTAAGCAAGAGAGTGGAAGCAAGATATTGAGGTGGCAAGGACTATCATCAGCTGCCTTTCCCACTCGATGAGGTAAGTTAAGAAAGTGATACATTCGATTTAATATCCCTCTCTGAAAGGACCTCGTGAAAGGACAGGGAGACACAAAAAAGTTATTAACAAAATATGTCTAAGACAAATTAAGGATACTCGATCAGGGGTCGAAATAAAAGAGGGGGAATTGACTTACACTCGGTGGAAAGTGACTTGAAATGGTTAAATATATGTGGCAAGTCAGTTTACGTAAAGCCAAGAAGTCAGATTACGTGAAGCTTAAGCCAATATCAGTTAAGATGTCGGATTACCTTGTACCTCAGTCCAGCCTAATGTTAATCTAGTTATAATACAGTCTTGTTGTGAAAGATTTTTAAAAAATGGAGAGAGAGAGAGAGAGAGAGAAAGAGAGAGGGGAAGAGAGAGAAAGAGAGAGAGAGAGAGAGAGAGAGAGAGAGAGAGAGAGAGAGAGAGAGAGAGGGAGAGAGAGACAGACAGACAGACAAACAAAGCTGTTCTATGTGAAGAAATTGCACAGGCGAAGATTTATAGGTATACTAGTGCATAATAATAGTCAAAGTCTCCTTACCTCATCAACGATGTTCTCATCGTCTTCGATATATTTTTTAAAGTTGACGACAGGATCTTGAGCGTCCCAAATAGCGAACATAGAGCTGCTGGTCATCTCATCGTCCTTGTGTTTGGTGACTGCAAGTTGCTGCCGACCCCAACTCATTGAGGGTTCGAACCCAATTCCTGGAGGCAGCATCCCTTTTGTCATTCCTTTGTTGATGAGCCGATATGATGGAGTATGGCCAAGTTCCGTCTTTTCGTTCTTGTAAAAGAGTAAATACTTCGGTTCATCGAAATTGTAGTGGCTTACTGCTTCCTTCTCACTTCTTTTTTCCACTTTCTTGAAAAAGTTTTGAACGTGCGTGCGTGTCGGGTTGTCAGCCCAGCTGTCTGTTTTGTTTTCTGTACCAATGTCCATCGTGTGGAAGCGATTGCTCGTTCCCTTAACATCGACATCAGCTTTAAAATGGAACAAGTGATGATGAAGACCCGCAACAACAGTTTCGCTTATTCTTGTTCCGAAACTTTCTTCTTCTGGGTAATAAAAACTTGCAGCTAAGTAACCCGTTGAACTAACTTTAACTTCAACAGCACCGTTGTTGTGGAGAACAAAGTCAAATACGTAATCATAGTTTATAATACAAATGTACATTCTAATGACTAAAACGTGGTCGTTTAGAGCGCTGTAAAAAGCGCCTGACTTGGAATAAGCACGGTGTCTTCTCAGGGGAGTCTCGGGGGAGTGCTCGAAAATGCAAACTGAGTTTTCCAATCTCTTGAGTCCTCCCGTGTTGGACGTATAGACAAGTGCGTCCTGCAGGAGGGCATGTTCAGGACAGTCCACTCCGGGCATCATGCCACGCATGCGCGTTCCGAAAAGGCCGGCGCTGTCCGCGAAGTACAACATGCTAGCTGCCGGCGAGTGACCTGAGTATAAGACACCTATCTCTTGCATGCTGAGCTCATAGAGAATTCTTTCTCCTCTGTACTTCACGTCGTACAAATGCAGTCCAACCGTTGGGGAGATGCGAAGGTTTAGCTTCCAATCCATATACTCGAGTAGATTTCCTCGGAGTTGAAATCGTGGTCCCATGGGTTGGATTTGCTGTGGTGGAGGCCTCGCCTCTGAAGGTATGGGCTTTCCCCTCATGTAAACAGCACTGTACTGGTCTTCCGCCGGCACTTCAGGAAAAGTGGTTCTGGTTTTATTTATAAGGTTTGTTTCGTACTTGTCCAGAAGCTCATCAAGAGTAGAGAATAGCTGATTGGCGTAAAACACCCTCTCGACAGACCAGTTGCGAGGGTCACGCAGAGACATATCGACAAGAAACTGGAAATCAAGAGGATGGAGGGTGTAGAATTCAACATCGTAGGCAAACCAGAACCAAGCCTTCCGTTTGCCTGGCTCCAAAAAACCACTTGAAATTGGAGTCAGGGAGAACTTCAGACACTGATTCCCACAGTCAAACATGGACGCGTTGTAGCTTTCCTTGAGAAGTTTCCCGGCTTTCTTTAAGACTCCGGGAAGTACAGATTTGTAGACGGCCTTGAACTCATAAGAAGAAAATGGTCTCATCGAATACGGTACCCTTGTTTTCCTAGAGGTTGTTTCAACCAGATTAATTGTAGTTGGATTGGGTAAGGGTCCCACAACGTATTCCTCTATAATCGGGTCTGAATGGTTCCCTCGAAAAACAAACGCCCGCGCCATGCGCGGTGGTCGAGGCCCCGTACCGTCAAGATAGCTCAGGACGTCTTTCTTCTTCGGGGGCAACAGCTCTACCAGGTGCACGTAATTACTATGAACCTCAGCAATGTCATGGCTTTGAAGAGCAAGCCACTCTTGAGCATGGAGAAAAGTCTCAATATTTCGGATTTCCTTTTCTGACAAGTCAGTGAAGGGGCTGCTTTGATTCTTGTACAATTCAATACCATCGATCTCCGTCTCCACGGCTGGACACGACAAATCGCCTTCTTCGTCTGCTATCCTTCGGCTAACCTCAATCCAGAGAAAGAAAGAGACGCAGAGGACAACGAGAGTGAGAATTATGGAGACAAATGCCAGTGCTAGAGACAGTCTCTGCCAGAACCTCTGCCCTCCTTTGTACTCGACAAGCCGGTCTGGTAATCTGACAGAAAAAGAAGACAACAAGTCAGTGATAAAAAGTAGAACTCATAACGAATGAATGAAAGAATGAATGAATGAATGAAATTATTATAGTTCAGTTGACGTAGATAACTTGACGTAAGTTTATTGAACCAAAGTTTACGATTATATATTTTTTTTTCAGTTCGGAAAGACTGGTGTATGCGCTGAAACATTGGAAAAATAGAGCAGAGAACAATGTAAATGCAGTTACTTTTTAAAGTTTCAGGTTGAATTGTAAACACCTATAGACACACAGTATAGGTCATTTTGAAAGATAAAAAAAAACCAAGATAAAGTGCTAAGAAAAAAAGGAGAAAAGGCAGAGACTAAGACAATGCAAACAAAGAAAAATAATCGATAACAGTGGAAAATCTCCTAGTGTATTACAAACGGGGATGCAAAGTCTGTAACTTCTCGAACTGCGCACATTCCATAATGCCTCTCAACATCCCCAAACCCACATCCTCTCTCTGCCCGCCCCATCCTCCTCCTATACACTACCCCCTCCCCCACCCCGAAACACACACCCTCACACATACGCATCCAGCCCCCGTATCCCTGATCTTTCATTATTCTGACGTAACTCGACTTAGGCCCAGCCCTTCCCTTAGCTTAGAGATATTCTTTCTTATTCAGAAATAAAGAAAATAGCCTTTGGGTGGGTTGGGCAACCTGGAAGGAATTGAAATGAAGGCGCAAATGTGGGAAGGGGGTGGAATGGGAGATAGGAGGGAGAGGGTTTTTATATCACTACTTTGTTATTGCTGCTATCGTTCCTTTTGCTAGAATAAGAGAACCATACGACAAAACACATTATCCCTAGAGAGTATCAATGGATAAAAAGAAAAGCAAGCTTCTTTGAACATTCATACGTTTCGTTCGGACTCTCGGATACTGTGTAAAACACATTATATTTTAAAGCAAATCATAAATGATGAATGCTAGATTACGTTTTGAAAGACGTTTTGAGAATGGGTAGAGGTGATAATAATTAATTATAGATCTTTTCCCCGGAATTGCTATCAATGGTTCCCAATTTAACTTTCTAATCAGGAGTGCCGTACTTGAAAATTGCTTGTGCTATTATCAAAACAGATATTATAAGTGGGGAGTGTTGAGCTTCCCAGAATTCCCTCAACACCCATTTAGTCTTCTTTTTCAGACAGTTCAATTTGGAATTCTTACAGAACAGGGTGCCAAAAGGGAGTGTCCATATCGACATAACGGTCACAGCGTTTCCTATTCAAGCCGAACGTTGCTGTTTTTCAATCATTGTGATTCAAATCCCATGCCGACTATTGCGAACGGGTAGTGAATGGATGTCTGCCGTTATAATCGAAACACCCTCAAACACACATGCACACACACACACGCGCGCGCGCGCGCTTTCACGCACAATTACACACACGCATACACACACAGACACACACACACACACACTCATAAACACGCGCGCGCGCACTTCAAGCACAATCACACACACACACGCACACACACACACACACACACACACACACACATAAGCACACACATTTATATAGACGCACATACTATAGCGCACTCACGCACTTGAACCCCCACATACTCATACATACATAGTATTATGTCCAAACACGAATTACATATATTATGTCCAAACACGAATGGATTTTCGTCAAAAATTTATCCGGGGAAATATAAAGGAGCGATCCCCAGGAAGACATTATTATTAATACTTGCGATGATGTTTCAGTGCTTGTTATCTATTTCTTCTAAAACCCATTCAAAAATGCAATTTCTCCTTTGGGCATTAAACAAAGAGTTGGGCCAGTGTCGCAAAAAATACGTGGGTTTTTTTGTTTTGTTGTCCAGGAAATGTGATAAATATGTACGGGAGTTTGTGTATTTGACATGAGGGGAAAATTATATCACACAACAAATCATCACGTGCAACTGAAGAGATTTCTAAAATGTAATATGATTACATGTGTACATTCTTTGTAAACAGTTCTTTATTGCCATGAACCGCGGAAAATGTCTTGGACGAATCGAGCTGGGCGAATTAATGATATGTTATTGGGTAATTGAATTTACTCACGGGCATGTATTGACGGGCTGGATGCATTTCCAGTGGGCAGGAATACTTAAGTCATGACGTGGCGCAATATTTTCATCAGATCTGAAGCTAATGCTTTCGTTTTTGTTTTTAATCAAATACCCTTTGAGGCAGAGAAAGGTCGTTCCACACGCCTCCCCCCAAGTGACACTCATACAACAAACAAACAAGCAAACACACACGCACACACACACACACACACACACACACACACACACACACACACACACACACAAGAGCAAACAACCACACTCGCACATAAATGTACTCACTAAAAGCATCCTTACAAGTTCATGAACTTGTGCACGCTTTATGCAGGCAAGCTCATTGTTTTCAACGAAAGAGTGTTTGTTAGCATGTGAAAAGTGCAGAACGTCTTCTAATAGTTACATGCATGGGAGTTCAAAAGCAGTATACACTGTGTGTGTGTGTATGTGTGTGGGGGGGGGGGGGGGTAGGTGGGGGGAAGGCGTGAGTGAGGGGCTTCTCCTGCCAATCATAGCAATAGACAAGCCTTGGTTCTGAATTCAGTTTATTATAAACAAGGAAGTAGTGCTAGGTTGTTTTAACCAGCTGTTACGAACAAGGAAGTACGGCAATGAGAGTTTTATACACTTTTCCCCCTTACAATAATGATGTTCATTTCGAGAGTATCAAATTCAACGAGATAATGTTTGCACCGATTATCCCCCACCCTTCCCCCTTTTCCTAACAACCCACCCACCAATACCCCCCATTTTCTCTTTTTTCCGGACCCCGTCCCATTTTAGCAGCTGTTCTTCTTTCTTTTTCAGAGAAAAAAAGGAGGTAGGGGGATAATAATAATAATAATATACCGTAATATCTGCTGTTTTTCCCCCACAGTACTCGCTGAGCCGTTTGAAGTGAGAAAGTTGTGATAACATTTTTTTCGTTTATCTTGAATACGTCTTTTGAGTTGAGCTGACATCGCTGCACGTCTACAAACTTCATATCGACCCAAAGAGGCAACAGCTGGCTTTTACCTCGTTGACGGTAGAATGAGAAAACATATAATGTTTCTTCCCATTCCTATAGCTCCTTGCGTCAGCGGTACGCGTGCATTTTTAGTGTCCGGCTTCTTTAAAGTTTAATCAAACTTTTGAAAATCTGCACGGTCACGTTCCGTTTCCTGGGAAGACAGTCTTACTTTAGACCTGCGACCCCCCCCCCCCCAACCCCTCCCCAAACCCACATATAAACACGGGTCTGTATAAACATAGGTCTGGTGCAGATTCGTGCGCTTGTCAAGATGCTGAATCACAACTAACAAACAGAATTCTTTAATTTGATGCATGCCACTAGTCTCGAGAATTATACTAAGGAGGTACAGACTGTCTCAATGTTGACAATTGCTAAATGCACACTCCCTTCCTTCTTTTTCTCTCTTCGTGTCTTCTCCTTACTTCTTCTTTCCAGACGTCAAATAGTTTTAAGGAAAGTTCCTATCACTTCCATAGGTATTTTATTATTTTTATTCAAGTCTGTGAGATAAACTAACGAAGCCAACAAAGTGATAGTATAAACAACTACGAAAACAATAGCAACCAAAACAAAATAAAAGCAGCACACAAAATACACACGTACCACGAACATTTAGCTATAGGCTACGACAGTCCGATCTCACACAAATTTTCTTTTAGCTATGAAAAAAACAAAACAAAAAACGAAGTAACACACATAAAAGTACACCAGAGCGATAAAGGCCGGACAAGACACAGACTTAAACTGGCGGGGATGACCTACAGTTTGTCGGTGTGTGTGGGTGGTCTATCAGGATCAAGCCCGATAGTGGAATGCAGATCAATAACTAAAGCAGAGCATCTGACTAAAAGAGAAAAAAAAACTTCACGTTGATCACATACTGCTTTTCTGCAATTATTTGTACAGTGGAAAACCCGGGCCCTGAAACGTGAGATAATGATCATGACAAAGATTTACGAATTAAATCGATCGAAACTAAGGGCTGGGCATGTTTTCTTATTTCGTAAATCATTAACATCGCAACTCTTTTATTTAACTTTATTTATCACTCTTCACCTTTTGTTAAGTTTTCATCAAAACCACCCCACATTTGAAACATACAATGATGACGACGACGACGACGACGACGACGACGACGACGACAACGAGGACAAGCAACAATCAAGCGTACAAAAGATCTTAATTATCGTCAGAGGAGGATGTGAGTACTTTACTAAAGTTCACAGACAAGACCACTGACAGTTTTATTCCCTTTTTTTCCAAGAAAAGTTTCAGTGATGTATGTCCTGTTCCGGGCTCCGGCGAAGTCTATCTGTTTGTCTTTCCACATGAGTGACGTTTAGGATTGGTTCTGCACGTGTAGCGTGCCAAACTAACTACTTGGACACCAGCAATTTCTCTCTCTCTCTCTCTCTCTCTCTCTCTCTCTC